GGGGAGGGTTTCACAGCGAAGGCAGGATGACAGAATGGAGGACTCCAACTCAGAAGTCAGGATTAACCACATCCCCAGTAGCTTCCCCCATGGAGAAGCTCCTGCAGCTCCTATTGCACTCTTGCAGTGTCCCCATTAGCACCCCCCACCCTCAGCGGGACAGGAGCTCTCCCCCAGGTCCAGCCGAAAGCTCCCGCTACCCCTCGGCACCCAGCAAACCTTCCCAAGGCAGCAGATCCTGCAGAATGGGCATGCACGATGAGCAGCGCTGAAGACCAGAATCAACTTCAAGGACAGGCAATACCAGCAGTGCAGCCTGGGAGGACGTACAGCCAGAGCTCTCCCCGAAAGATCAGCACCACACAACTGGAAGATAATTTTATGTAACTGAAACCTACTAGCCCCCAGTACAGAGAAGGAGCTGGCAACTGCCCACTCAGCCAACCCAAACAGCCCCCTCACCGCTGCGGAGCTGCGAGGCACTCGGGGAGCTGCACAGGGCTGGGAGCAGGATCCAGGCAGGTGCCAGCCACGCTCCGCTGTAGCGGCACCGGGCCCAAGAGGCCAGACCCGCACCGGCACATTCCAGTAAAGCCACGGAGGGGGGCTAGGACAGAGCTGCAGTCTGGAGCTTTGCTCCAAGCTGCATTAAAATGCATGAGCCGTGCTAGCCCTAATGATGAGCAGAGCTGTCAAACAAGGAGCTTGTCCCAGCTAATTATCTCTAACAAGGGCAGAGTGTCAGGGTCCCTGAGGAGCTGGGCAGCAGCTTCCCACTCAGCTCAGTTGCAGAAGAGGGAGAAGATAAGCAGATGTCATTGTGCTGGCCTAGCTACAAAATCATTAATTAGGCAAATGCGACCTTCTGTGCCAGTTTGCTCTTGAGAACTTGGACTTGCCAGAGCCAAGACATACAGGCAGGCTGGAAACATCCCAGCTTTTGCCACCCAACCTGTCCCCCGCAGTGCTGAGCCTCCTGCCCCCGCGCAGAGACAGCACAGTCCCAGTCTGGCAGCCCCTGACCAACCAGCCCGGGGCTGCACAGCTGCGCCACATTCACCTGGGGGCTCAAATACCCCTTGCCAGGGCTCCGACCCATTCCCTGGCCCAAAAAGCAGCCGTCTGGTCTTCCTGAAATGCCACCATTTAGGTCACGTTCACCTCAACCACCTCCCTCATCCTCAGCCGCCTAGCACAGCCCTGCAGGGGCTCTGTGCCTACCTAGCAACCCCCTCCGCAGCACCTCTCTCCCAAATCTTTAAGGCAGACGTTAAGGCACTGGGGATTTCTGCTCCCCTGTGGTCCTACTCCATTCCAGTGCAGAGGGCACCAGCCACACACAGCTCTACAAGCTGCTTCTCTCTTATAAACAGGTCCCATGGCCCAGAAACTGAGACCATACGCTTGCCCTTACGGGCTAGAGAGGGGGAGTGTGTCTCATCCCAAGGCAGGGTTAAGGCAAAGTCTCTTCCCGGGGGGACAATCCAGAGATACAGCTCACACGAGGTCCATCCTGCAAGCTCTGTGCTTGTCCCTCACCTCAGAGCTGATGGGAAAGGGAGGAGAGGCTGCTTTTTTGCCAGCCAGAAACCTGCTGCAGGACCACGAAGCTTACAGACGACACCAGCAGCACACAGCGCTGTTCACTAGCCTGCAATTCTGGTAAGTGCTTTTCAGTCCCTTGTTGCCAGACAGGCGTAAAGGCTTGAACAGCCTTTATTTTACAAAATAAAAGATGTAAAAATCACCAACTTCAAACAGGAACAGTGCTGGAACCCAAGGGGTTAGAGGGAGCTGCACAGCCAGTGACTGTGGCAGGGGGGGGCAGTTGCCAGACAGGCGTAAAGGCTTGAACAGCCTTTATTTTACAAAATAAAAGATGTAAAAATCACCAACTTCAAACAGGAACAGTGCTGGAACCCAAGGGGTTAGAGGGAGCTGCACAGCCAGTGACTGTGGCAGGGGAGCTCAGCCCCACCTGCTGGCAGGCACCACCTGAGGCAGGGGTTTGGGGTCCTGCTTTTGGGGCACAATCCTCTCTGCTGCAGAAGGCTGGGGACTGATCTGCCTTACACCACCCTGTCTCACAGTCCCTGCTATAATACACTAATGAGCAACAAGTATCAGCAAAAAGTTTACTGATATTCCCAAAATGCACATTTCATTTCGTATCGTGATCAAGCTCTCAACAGCAGCCAACTACTGTACAGGCAGAACCACCACATTAAGTCAGTCTTACAAGAACGCTTTCAGAGGCCACAGGACAGAAATTCTTTCCTCAGCCCACAGGAATGGTTCCTCACTGAATTTAGGCTGTCACTAAACTTTGATAACTGCAAGGTGCTCCTGGGCACGCTCTTCACGCGGCCTCTTCCACACAACGTGGTTCAGACAGAAGACTCACTGAACCCCCCCCAGCTTGATCTGCAGCAGGGGTTTTTGCTCCTAAGGTTTCTTTCCTTCTACTGCTTCTGCAGTGCCTTTTCTTTCAGTTGGCTGACGAGCTCTTCAGCATACACCTTAAAGAGTGGGACAGGGTCCTGAAACAAAGCAGAGGATAAATCACTTAAAAGGAGTGAGCCTGTGCAGCAGGAAGGGGTGAAGTCTAATGGAGAGCCCAGGGAGCCAGTGCCACGGGAGTGTTAACAGTTAAAACCGGAGAAGATGGGCTGGGTTTTTTCCAGAGGCTGAACAAGACAACCTGCTACCCTCCTCCTCCAGACACAGCTGCTGCTCAGTTCTGTAACCTTGACTCAAAGATGACAGGCACCTGTGTGGGACCTTCACCAGCTTTCCCAGTTCTGCCTGCATTCCAGAATCATCAGTAGCTGCCAGGGATCCCTTTTTTTTTTTTCTAAAAACGCTTGCCTCCCTCCTCATGTTGCCCTAAGTCAGAGCTGTAGCAAAGCACGTTGGGTGAACATACTCCTTGAAGAACCTGGACCCCACAGGGTTCAGTGCCCAGCGCCACCTCAGGCAGTCAGTGCTCCCGACCTTGCCATCCCCGCTGTGGCCACAACGGGAGCCAACAGGTCTGGGGGAAACGTCACCGAGGGACCCCATCACCCCAGGAAGCCCTTTTGCCCCAGCAGCTCTTTGCTGCAACCCTCCTCTTTTTTTTTTTTTTTGTTGCTTCTAACAAGCAAGCTGCAGCGACAGTCTCACAAACTGAGCAAGCCCTGAGCTTGTACCCACATGTCCCAAAGCACAAGCACAGCAGAAGGCGACCAAAGGCAAAAACATTCACACAATGGGGCAGGAGTTATGAGCCACCCCTCAAAAATATCTCTCCCCTAACTGGGCCATGTGATTTTACAATGTGCTTTAACTCAGCCCCACATTTTGGGCACCTAAGTTTAACTGGGCTCACAGGGCTGCTCAGGAGTTTCAGAGCACTGCTTCTACTGCTCAGGAGTGCTCAGGCTGCTTGGATCAGCTGGATGTGCAGCCTGACGCAGCTAAGACACCTCAGTGCTCAGCACTGCCTCAGGAACTCACCTTTTTTTCTAGGAGCCTCTGTTTTTCTATTGCTTCTTCTAAACTCAAGCCGACCCATTCAGCTTCCTCTTCTGGGATCACAAATTCCTGTGATAAAACAAGGAGCAGGCGGTACAGTCTTGCCAGGTGACTAAGGTGCAAATCCTCTCTGCGCCCAACTCACACAAACACGCGATCCAATAGGAACGTTACTATGGACAAACCTTAAAGGACTGTTCCCTCATTTCTAACAACCCCAGTTCACTTCCCTTCTTTCCTTTTCCCTGTGCAAGGGCCCTGCTTCCTCTGATCGGTCGTGTCTGCTGCTGTGCCTCAGCTTTGTGTAGTTCTGCGGCTGTTTCTCAGCACAACTCCACAGACCGTGGATGCTGGTGGTGTTTCCATGCTGGCAACTGTCACCAGCTGCACAAAACTAAATTGCACAAAGGCACTCTGGGCTCCTCGCTGCAGCGTCAGTACAAATTCTCGCTGCTGTTGGCAGTGCTGGCTCCTACCAGTGCTTATTGCAGACCCTCACTGACCTCGATCACAGCAAAAATACAGGCTTTTGTTTTCCTAAATAATCAGCACAGAAATCAGCAGCCCACAGAGAGGCAAGAAAAACTTGACAAACAGTGTTTAGGTCTTCTCTGCCCATACCCTTAACCCTAAAGTTAACACTGGTTTGTGCTGCAACAGGGCGATTAGAGCATTATCAGTCCGGACAACCAGCAAGCATCACCACAGACACCAGGGCAGGAACTACAGGGCAGGCACCCACCTGGTACTTATTATAGATTGCCTCTCTTCTGGCCGGATCATCGGGATGCAGTTTAGGATCCCGCCGTGCAAGTCGCAGCAGCATCGTTCGCTTCAAATCCATCCCGAGCTTTGAGCACATATCGGCTTTTGGAGTCTGGAGAAATAAAGGCTGCTGTTAAATTGCACTAAGAGACCAGCTGCGAGTGCGCATGCAAGTCTAACAGCACGTAGACAACACCAGCAGTTTATCCGCACGCTGCAGAGGCTCTCGGGACACACAGTACTAAAGATGAAAGACCCCTCAGGTTTGTTCTGGAGCTAATTTGATTACAGTTCTGATCTTTAATACCCAGGGCTCCGATCAAGGGGGTACTGCAGGCTGGAAGCTTCAGACCTGTGCTAATACGTGTACTAGGTTTCTGTAGCAAGGTCTTGGTAGCGGGGGGGCTACAGGGTTGGCTTCTGTGAGAAGCTGCTAGAAGTTTTCCCTGTGTCTGCCGCTGGCCAAGGCCAAGCCAATCAGCGATGGTGGAAGCACCTCTGGGATAACATATTTAAGAAGGAAAAAAAAAAAACACGGCTGTGTCTCAGTAGCCAGAGAGAGAAGAGAAGTAAGAGGATGCGAGAGAAACTAGCCCTGCAGGCACCAAGGTCAGTGAAGAAGGAGGGGCAGGAGGTGCTCCAGGCACCAGAGCAGAGATTCCCCTGCAGCCCTTGGTGAAGAGCATGGTGAGGCAGGCTGTCCCCCTGCAGCCCATGGAGGTCCACGGTGGAGCAGATCTCCACCTGTAGTCCGTGGAGGACCCCACGCCGGAGCGGGTGGCTGCCCAAAGGGAGGAGGCTGTGACCCTGTGGGAAGCCTGCGCCAGATCAGGTTCCTGGCAAGGCATTGCGGACCCATAGGGGGAGGAGCCCACACCGAAGCAGGTTTGCTGGCAGAATTTGTCACCCCACAGGGGACCCAATTCTGGGGCAGTCTGCTCCTGAGAGACTGCACCCTGTGGAAATTATGAACCCACGCTGGAGCAGTTCGTGAAGAACTGTAGCCCATGGGAAGGACTCACGTTGGAGAAGTTCATAGAGGACTGTCTCCTGTGAGAGGGACCCCACGTGTGAGCACGGGAAGAGTCCTCTCCCAAAGACGAAGAAGCGGCAGAGACAATGTGGGATTAATGATAAAATGGTCTCTCCCTATCCTTACCTCGACCCACAAACCTTTTGATTTACTTTTCTCTCCTCTGTCCAGTTACAGGGGAGGGATAGAGCGGCTTTGGTGGCCCCCTGGCGTCCAGCCAAGGTGAAACCACCACAACACGCTACGAGCAGCAGATGCCTGCACGCCCCCAAGCACGGGCAGCGTAGGGGCAGGAGCTGCCTCAAGGAGGCTGCTGCGCAGGGGCTCCCGCGGGCCCCGGGGCCTTACCTTGAGGATGTAGAAGTCAAAGCCGTAGGCCTCGTCGATGAGGTCCAGCGTCCGCATGGTGACGGTGATGGTCAGCGTGGCGTCCAGGATCTCGCTGTAGAACTGC